CAGGTGCACTTACATACATGCAGGCAATACATTCATACACATAAAATTTTTTAAAAAAAATTTAAAAAGATATCCGCTGTGCGTGGTGGCACATGCCTTTAATCCCAGCACTTGGGAGGCAGAGGCAGGTGGATCTCTGTGAGTTCAAGGCCAGCTTGGTCTACATAGTGAGTTCCAGGACAGCTGGGGCTACAGGGAGACCCTGTCTCAAAAAAACAAAAAAAACAAAAATTAGCTGGGTGTGGTGGCGAATGCCTGTAGTCCCAGCACTTGGGAGGCAGAGACAGGTGGATCTCTGTGAGTTCAAGGCCAGCCTGGTCTGCATAGTGAGTTCCAGGACAGCTGGGGCCACAGGGAGACCCTGCTTCAAAAAGACAAAAAAAAATTTTTTTCAAAAAAATCTTTCATTGAGCCAGGCATGGTAGCACATAAACCCCAACTCTGATAAAAAAAGAAAAACATGAAGATAGCTTCCAACACAGTAAAACCCCTCCCCTATCTCTACCCTTTGAGGAGTCAAAGCACAGGAAACAACTCTCTTGGGACATGCAGTTCCTGTAGCTTTGTTCCCACACTGCTCAGGGGCTCTCTCTGCCCAGGCTGATTTGACTTCATAGAACCACCAACTGTAACAATCAACTCTGATAAAAAAAGAAAAACATGAAGATAGCTTCCAACACAGTAAAACCCCTCCCCTATCTCTACCCTTTGAGGAGTCAAAGCACAGGAAACAACTCTCTTGGGACATGCAGTTCCTGTAGCTTTGTTCCCACACTGCTCAGGGGCTCTCTCTGCCCAGGCTGATTTGACTTCATAGAACCACCAACTGTAACAATTGGATTTCTTTCTGAGAGTTTGCTGTGGGCTTGCTCTGTATAGAGCACATTAGAAACCTCACCAGTAAGTCTCCTAGAGACCCACAAACAGGTCTCTCTTCCCTTTACAAGGAAGTGGTAAGATTTGTCCCAAGGTCACTCAAACCATCACTGGCAAAGCTCTTAACCACCAGACTAGACTTCAGAGAAAGAACCTTACCAGTCCTTCCTCAGGGAATCCCCCTCCAAAGTCTGTTCCTCATTTCAGGGCCTCTTCACAGTCAACCCAGAACAATATGAGGCTGGAATCTCAGGGCCTGCCTTATGCCTGGTTGGCTGCTCCCTGCTGCTCCTCACTACCAATGAGGAATGCTCCACCCTTCATCTAATATCTGTGCAGTGAGGCCGTTTCCCAGATGCCTATTCGTGTGTCTGCCTCATGGTCACCAGCCATAATTACCCCAGAAGGGTCCCCAGTAATCACCTAAGAGACCTCAAAGTCTGCCTTGGAGCTTCCTTTTGTGTTGATTTGAGAGATGGTCTCACATACTTGTGTATCCCAGGCTGGTTTTGAATTTGCTATGTAGCCATGAATAACCCTGAATGCCTGATCTTCCTGAGTACACCTCCCAAGTGCTGAGAATACAGGCATATATCACTGTGCCCTGGGCCTATTTTTCTTTTTTCTTTGTAGGGTTCATTTATGTTTTGTTAATAGTTTTCTGTTTTGTTTTGTTTTGTTTTTTGGTCTTTTTTTGAGACAGTTGAGACAGGGTCTCCCTGTAGCCCCAGCTGTCCTGGAACTCACTATGTAGACCAGGCTAGCCTTGAACTCACAGAGATCCGCCTACCTCTGCCTCCCAAGTGCTGGGATTAAAGGCGTGCACCACCACGCCTGGCTCATTTTTGTATTTTTATGTTGGTACTGCTAGGGATTGAATCCAGGGCTTCACACATGTGAAGCAAGTACCTTACCACTGAGCGACATCCCTAGCATGTTTATCATTTACCAGATGATAACTTTCAGGAGTTGGTTCTCTCCTTGCACTCAGTCTTCCTGCCTTCACTTCCCAAGTACTAGGGTTACATGACTCCCAGCTGCTTTGGAGCACATTTCCATGCAAAGATTCATTTTTTTTTTTTTTTTTTTTAGACAGAGTCTCACTATGTAGTTCTGGCTAGCTGGGATTTGCTATGTAGACCAAACTGGCCTCAAACTTACAGTGACCCCTCCTGCCTTGGCCTCCTAAGTGCTGAGGTTACAGGTCTGAACTACCTCACCTATCTGAGAGTCACCTTTTATTTTGTTTTGAGACAGGGTCTCCCTGTAGCCCCAGCTGACCTGGAACTCGCTGTGTTGACCAGGCTGGCCTCAATCTCACAGAGATCCACCTACATCTACCTCCCTAGTCCCAGGATTAAAGGCACACACCACTACCTCAGCCACCTTTAGAACTGAGGAAAGTTGGCTCTATCATAACTTGGCATTATCTTACAGAATGAAGAACTGAGGCCCTTCTGTGGAGAGACTGGGAGATTTAGACCTTGAGTATCTGATGCAAAGTTGGATTAATTGCTATGCTGAAGGGAGGCTGAGAGAGCATGGCCACAGTGTCCTATCCTATCCTGTCTTGGCCTTGTGGCCAAGTAACAGCGAGTTCTCTGAGGGATGTGTATACAGAAGGCAGAAGGCAATACTGGAAGGGACCCACTCTGTGGCAACAGTGAGGCCTTTTAGCTCAAATTCTGTGGATGGTGGAGAGAAGGCTTTTGGCTGAGGCTGGTTGGCCAAGGTCAAGCTTCATCCTCCAGAGGAGTCATGCCTCAGAATAGCATTTCTCAGCACATGTGGCTGGAGATCTCAAACACAGAAAACCACCCATTCCCAACACCCACTCTCCAGAGTCCGTTCCATGAAAGGCCTGAGCATCAAACTTCCTAGCAGTGGCTCAAGGGAATCCTAGTAGGGTAAAGCTTTAAAGCTTGAGCAGACATTACTCATAGTTCATAGTCTAGACCTGCACTATTTACTATGGCAGCCACGGGCCACATGTAGCACTTATTTTCTGATGTGTATATATGTGCATATGTGTTCATATGGGTGCACATGTGTATGTGTGCGTGTGGAGATCAGAGGTTGGCCTCTAATCATTCATCAGGATCTGTCTACCTTGTTTTTTGTGTGTGTGTTTTGTTGGGTGTGGAGGAGTATATGTGATGTGTGTGCATACACATGTGGAGGCCAGAAGAGAATGTTGGTGTCTTCCTCTATTCCTCTCCACCTTATTTGTTTGAGGCAAGATCTCTCACTGAATCTTGACATTTTGGCTAGGCTGG